AAGTTAGACTTTTTTGGCCACTGCTTAATTGACTGATGTTAAATTATCGCTCGAAATACTTTTGAGGATGCAAATCATTTGTACTTGTGAAACATCGGGAATTAATAACTTTTCACGAAGGCTTGAAATAAAAGTCAGCAAAAACTCACTAGTTTCAATTCCAAGAATTCTTCTGACCACGATTGACTCTTGTGCTAATAAACCAACCATAAATAAACACATGTTTTTACAAAATGATAAGGTTATTTAGTACGAAAATAAGAGCACTTAAAAAAAGTACAAACTTTGCATCAAATATCTGAAAATATTGAAAGCAAACAATGAAGATTTGAAATTTATCAAGATCAGCAAAGAAGTCAGACATTTGGAAACTGAAAACTTATAGGCAACGTATAATAAATTTTTAATAAGTAAGAAGTACAAAGCAAGTTTATATTTAGTGTGAAGAATTATTTCAGTTAAGTGAGTGGAATCCAAGCCAGATTTTATACTTCAATAGCCACATTTTCAAAAGTGATTATTTTCTGCTGATCAGTTCTATACAACCATATAAAATAAAACAATTAAACTATGGACCAGCGGTCTAATACCCAAGAATTACTGCAGAAAAAGAATTCTGTTCAAAGTGATTAACAAATAATATGAAAAATTTAAGATCGCATTAGTTCTGCAATTTTTTTAAGAGAATGTGTTTGTAATTGCACAAGAATCTCTGAAACTTATTATGGAGTTTTCATAGTGCAATGACAAATTTCAAAATTAAGATTCATGCACTTTTAATTCGACATTTTAACCACCAGGAATTTCTCATATTTGTGAAAAAGATCCTTACGTTAAGCTTACGCATATGAAGCGTTAAATTATAGTTTTAACTTTTTGCTAATCTGTACTATTTTTTCGACTGGTTGAATCTGTTTCAAGGAATCAAATAGATTTCAAATGTATGATTATAAAAGGATTTTTCCTAGTTTCACCCCAGAAATCAAATTTACATTTTCTGCAACATTTGTATATCCTGGTATGTTAAATGGGGTTTACCAATATTCAAAAGTGGCAAAGAGCTTAATAAGCAAAACAAGTGGAAATAAATGTGAAGGAGCAACCAGCAAAAAATCGAACAAAAATGCAGAGAATGAAAATAGCAGATCACTTTCAAATATTTTGTACTCGAGATTTTTACATGTTCATAAAACCTAAAGTAACTTTTCATGTTCTATTATTTCCTTCGTTAGTCTAATAATTGTTATACAGATGTATATTTAACGGACCCCGAATGAGCTGGTACTAATTTGACTGTTTAATATGTTTTGTTTGCATGTTTTTCTTTGACTGGACATTAATTAAGCATGGTTACATTTGACTTTCTGTTTTCTGGAGGCGTTTATACAATAATTTTAAGAAAAACCTCCATTCAATGCAAGCCTTCTTTTAACGAATTACTAATGTACATTTTTAAATGACTGAAAATATTTTCGAAATTTAGGTTAAAAGTTCGTAGAAGGTTTTACTACGCTAGAAAACGTCAATTATGTGAAAACCCACGTCTTAGGCAAAACTTTTTCAACTTAACATTATCTAAATTTAAAGTATTTTAAGCTAAGTACCCTCCACTTCTCTTGCCAGAAATGGATGGCCCAGTTTCGCAGAAAAATTAATTTTCTTAAGTGTTTCGCTTAACTGCCACTACTTCATTAATTCGTTCCTTTCATTGGCAGAAAATGCATTCTAATTTATATACATAGATTTTTATTCACTTTTATTGTTTTATTTGAGGAATCAGTGCAATATTGAAAATATAGGTATTTAAATTTAATTCGTTTCTAAAAAATCAGCCAATAATTCATTTCCAAAACTGAATCTACTCTCGTTCACAAGATGATTTCTTTAGGAATTATTGCATAAAACTTCCACTGTATAAATTATTCGTGCCATTTTAACTAATCCCACAGACTTGCAAACGATTTTGGAAATAATCGACGTTATTTATCACTGCGGTGTTCTGCTCAGGTGAAGAGTTTTCACAAAATAAATGATTGCTAATAACGATAATTAGTTAGCGAACCAGAGGCGATTAATGTCGCTAGAGAAGTTTAACAGCATGTACAAATACACGCCTTAGTATCGTGTTACAAACCAAAAATGAATGAAAACTAATTAAATTATACAACACAAAGCAACACATTCCGCGTCTATATATCCTTGTTTTCTGCATCTCTTCTTTCCTATTTCTCACGAGGACTGATCACAGAACCGCACTCAAAAATATCGAGTGGGGTGCTAATATATGTAAAACCGTGCTTTCAAATTAGAAACTTATAGCAATTTTATGGTAATTTTTGTATACTTCTCATCAACGCTCAATTTACTAGACGTTTATTTTCGTTTTCCGAAATTGTATTTTTAGCTAAAGACTAAAATAATATCAATACAAGATCAAAGTCATGTAGTATTTCACAGGATGCAAGCTAAACAGAACATTTCAGTCGAATACCATCCTGTAGAGAATAGGTATGGAAACCATAGGAGTGGTGGAGTATTTACAACACAGTTTCTCTCCAGATAAGAACCATAATTACAAGAGCTTGTAGGCCTATTACTATTTAACGCAAAACATAAATTTTATTTCGATGCCTACGCGGGTCACAATTTCACCTCAGAACCATACATTTTAATAAGTCTGGTGAGTGGGCTAAACATTTGGACCGGAACTTGTTACCAAAGTTGAATTTGTTCGAGTTGCCTTTAGTTGAAGAGGCAAATACCGATGTATTATTCGTAATGATACTGAATAAACCGATGCAACTTGTAAAAACAAGCTCATTACAGTGACCGTTGAAGTTCAATGAAGCTCCTCTAAGGAAGCTTAAACTTTGATACAAATAGTAGGTGTTAAATATAAATAAAATGAATGCATCTCAAAGAATCAAAAGGCTTTAAGACAGGTTTACCATCAATTCCTGAGTAAGTTTTTTGTCATTTTATATTATGTTATAATACTACTAACTTCAACATTCTACTAATTATTTTATTTTCCTTCTTCTGGCGTTTCCCCCTAAGTTATTTGATATAATTCAAGCGCAAAAGTTAGTTAGCCATTAGGTGAGAAGCTTGTACCTTGAACCTGACTTTTCAAGACTTTATTATTGCCATATTTTCAAAACTCAAGACTCTAACTAGGGCCGGGGCAAAGCAAAGGAAAATTTTGCAACTTTATTTTATCACTTCAATTTTTTCCGAGGTACAATTACACATTGTACTTTTCGAAATCAGTCTACTAAATACAATCGATCTTCAGGGTGTGATGTTAGCCTAGAAAAAATGTCTTAAGTGCGAGTTAATTAGCGTTAACTGCGAGTTAGTCAGCATTTAGTCAAAAACTATAACCAAGGGTGGATTCAGAGGAGGATCATCGGAATCACGACCCCCGCACTTTGTGTTGGGTTTATGTCGACTAGTGATAGTTTTTCTAATTTCATAGACAATTTAAAAAAATAAATACTGTGTATGATGGCAAACTCCAACGCGAATGACGCTCATATTATGGTGTTATTATAATTATATGGTGCACCAGCTACTTCAGTATGAATGAATAAGAATCTCTCTTAATACAGGCCCGATTTGGATCATTGAAAATTCGGATTATAATGCGAGTAATTTTGTCTAAAAATCGTACGTTGCAAGATTGAAATCGGTTGCGAAACTTGACAGTCATGAGAGTTTGAAAGTCGAAAAGACGATTTTGCCAAACAAAAGTTATCAATGTTTTCTTTGTGGATTTAAGGTCGCAATTTTTTTGGGAATTTTTCTGTTTTCATTGCTGCCTCAGATTGATGCGGAAACTTTTTTTTTGCTAAGTTACTACGAAAACGCTGTTATTAGTGAATAAAAGCACTTGAAAAACTTACCTGGTTTAGCCGAAGAAAATTCTAAGCATACGAAAGAATGTGCGTTATATTTTCGAAAAAGTCGTAATATAAAATTCACAAATATGCACATGCGGGCGGCGTAAATGCTATCAAAACTACAACCCTGGTTGCCATCTACTTCCAGAAAAGTTACACCTACCTTTAACGGTTTTGATCTGGATTCTGCGCGATTTTAACATTAAAATATAGCAAAAAAATTGATTTGCAACAGAAAAACATTAGTGTTGATGATTAATTTTGAAAAGTTGAGTGAAAATGATTCAAATTTTGCAAACACTTGCTATCCCTCATGAGCAACAAGAACCGTTCAATTTAACGTGCAATTCACAGAAGCAAAATTACCTAATTATCTAGTTTAAGTTCTTCTGGATTTCAATGGTGAAAACTTACTTTTGCTATAAGTTCCCTTTTCTCTCTACTAACTATAAATCCCGCTACTAACACTTTCTTAATGGATTTTCTACCGAAAATCAATTTTTCAACCACTTCGAGGTTCTAAAGTTTACGATTTCCCTTGTTTTGGTTGAGATAGCTAATTTAAATTATTTAAAAAGTATCAACCGATAACCAAAAATAAAATACCTACATAAAGTGTCTAACCAAACAGCTTTCAATACATGTTTAGACACTAACAGTCCACTTTAGGAAACCTGGAAAGTCAATTTTTGAAAGTTGAGTAAAAATCAGTTTTAATTTGAAAAATCGAATTGAGCATTCAAAAACGGTTCAATTTAAGGTTTAATTTAAAAGAGAAAAAACCTGTAATGATGCATAATGCAAATGACGCAAATTACCTGCCGTGGCTCTAAAAAGTAATAAATTAACAACAGAAAGTTAATAGCTTCACATATTAAAAGAAATTTCTGTTGAGAACCTCATTCGTTAACGTATAATGTCTGAGTTTAAATATATTTAACAAAAAGAAAATTCGAAAAATTTCAAAATCAATCCAGACACTCCCTCGTCGTTCCTCGTCGAATAAATATCACAATTAAACACAAGCCAATAATATGGGACTAAAGACTCATCTACTACATCTGCATGACAACCAGGCGAAAATAATGCCAAACTTACCGAAAGCTGCATCGTGCCACCTGGAAAGAAAGCAAAACATTATTTAGTATTGCACAAACTTAGCCAAAAGTTTAATTATTTTGAATGAACCTAGGAAATAAAGAGAAATAAATATGCCACAGTAAAAACAACTTCAGTTGCTTCCCCAAAAACTCAACTCAGATTAAAATTCATTCTTACCAGCTTTCTGCAAGATGGCCTTATTCTCAATTTTCTACCCAATAATCTTGAAAGGACTCACACTACTCTTGAACACACAATAAAGATCAACTCCGAGAAATAATATCAGAAACCGATAATCCGATTCCGAAGGCAGTGAACTACAGAATAGACGTGATAATATAGTTGTTTGCTGGATCGTCCCTTTGGGTGTATCATTGGCAGTTCATTTTTCGTTTTTTCATTGTTGACTGTTTTGCAGAAAGTGCCTGTATGCACGCAAATATCTGGTCAAACTAGTTTGGTGCCCGTGCACAAAACAGGTTTGCCAGCCAAATATGAACATCTCCAGATCTCGAGCGGAATAAATTTTTTCTATATAGGATAGAGATTTTTCATGATAAAGTAAATGCTCTCAGATCTTTGTTTGATTTTTATGAAATTTTGAGTCTTTTAGCTGGATATGTTGCGTAGAGCCATTGTAAAGCTGCGTCCTCACAGCCTCGACACTGTCGATCGACTTTATTGAGGTATACAAACTAAAACAAATCTATGGGATTCTAAGACCAAAAACTGTAAGTACAGAGACTTGAGGCACGATGGATTTCCCTTATGGAAATTGCTAAAGAATTTAACGTCGAGAAGCAAGCGATAGAACAAAAAATTTGAAATATTCAAGCTCAACTTGCAAGAAAAGTAAAAAAAAGGACAGCAAGAAATCTGGCTCTGATACGGAGGATGTGTATAAAGGTAAATTAATATTACGTCATCTTGGTCAGATATGTTGATTTCGATTGATGATCAACAATGTCGATCGATAGTGTCGACTCGGTGAGGACGCAGCCTTAGATCCACATTGAATGCTCAGACGGAATACGAAACTTGTTTTTCACTCCAGCTCTCGATTTAGCATTGAAACAGTGCAAAAGTAATCTAAATAGAAGATCCACACTCAATCTACATGCCTCATTAAGAGCGGTTGAAGCAGTCGCTTTATTTTTGCACGAGTTCCCCGATCAGCTTTTTGCCGAATTTTTTTGGAGCTTCAATGGCAGAAGAGCGCTTAACTGGCCTGCTCTTCTCCACGTTTATAAAACCATACCGATTGACGTGGAGGAAGCCATAGCTCGTTTCGTGAGAAGACAATTGATTTTTTATTTGATTAAAATTGCTACGACATATTAATTATTAACACAACATATTTTTAATTACATTAATTATTGTAATTTAATTGAAGCATGGCTTGACTTTAATTGAAGCATGTCTTGACTCTTGAAGAGGACTGCTACATGACCCCCCTGTCTTAAAAGCAGCTGGATCCTGTAGATCTAGAGCAACTGTTATCTCAGCTATTTTCCTGTAATATTTGCGCGCGCTGTATATATTTCCGGTCATGACGGGCGGCGCCGATAAATTTCCGGGGAGGTGCACGCCATCGCCTACTTTGTGAACCGTAGTCCCTCCTTTCCATTGTTTTAAACAATATCAAACCACCAGTCACACCGTAAGTTTTGATATCGGGCTCCACCAAACGTGACATGCCATTATAAACTTCCTGTATAATATATTTTATAAACTATAGCAATTCGTACTAGACGAATAACTAATGGAAATTAATTTGTTTCACGTCTTACGAGAGGGTGTAATTGTGTGAAATATATGTTTTTTGTATTGGTTGCATGCTTGTACAGGCGCGCTTTTCTGTATGAAAACACTAGATTATTTTCTAGACTAAGTTAGCTGAAAATCAACGATAAGGTGAAATATTTGTAAGATCGTAGATTTTCGTAAGAACGTAGTTCTATCGTAGATTTTGCCTGAAGAAAAATTGGTATAATGTAAGTAAAAACCGCCTATAAGCAAAATTGCTCCTCACAATACCATTTTAACAGCTGTATTATTTAGTCCGTCAACTGTACTAACACGTATGTATATTTTCAAATCCGAGTCATAGTACTCAATTTAAGCTTTATAATAAACACAAAAATCAACGAAACCTGAACACAATTCAAAATATCTATCGTTTGTGTGTTGTTCATTTTTATATTCAGTGCCAGAATTGAACATTAGTTACGTTACTGTTTCGCTTTCAAAAATTGAAACATTGTGTTTCAATTTATTACTCTTATTATTATCCAGGGAGTTTCCTAAGCTTAAATATAATTAATTAAAATATCATGGTTGCCGAGAGATTTACATTCTTTTGAAAATCGGCGAAAATTGACATCACTTGATATTTCGTACTATTGCTCTTATGTAACGTTACACAGAAAATATGTCTTTTGCATTTTAATTTGGGTAAGGATCGCAGTTCAAAAGCTCGGCAAAAGTTTGGCTTTATTCCTTATCGATATCCATTCTATTATTTATCTTTTGATGCTTACGGTAGCACAGGATCGATACCTATTTGGATGTCCTTAAGCACAAAGAGTAGCACCATTCTTTTGGGGACTTTTTCGCAAAGTGCTCTGTATTTAAGGAAAGCTTTATTTTAATACAATTGTAAATTGACAAATAATTTTCTGTTTACATATATGATTTTAATAAATTTTGAATTTGAATTTGAATTTGAAATAACCAATGGTGAAAGACCGCAATATTTCCCAACAACCCTGTGAAGAATAATCTCCTGAACCAACTTGCATTCATGCTTTAATGTGTTGTTCGAATCCATATTTCAACATATTTATTTTAATCTGAATAATTCTGACTATTGCGTATAGTCAAAAATCAAAGCATGCTACGTAGGCCAATTATTAAAAGCGAATAAAAATTGTAATAAAACTTTCTTCGGAATTAAGAAAATGTATTCATTTGTAATATGAAATAAAACACGAATTTATTTAACGTTTAAAGAATTTAATTTAAAATAAAAAGGACTCGTTGACATCAGCTGAAAAGTAGCCCTCACCAATAATGAATATTTTCCAGCTTCTAGATAGTTAGTGATTCATATATTCAAACTCTTTTAAAGGTATCAACTGGTATTAATAGAAGATGCCATAATTAGTTACCATGCCATCCAGAAATAGTTGAAATAAATATTTCAGTGTCAAAATTTCCGTTGAACTTTTTCGCACTTTGGCGACCGAACTATCGAAATTCAAGTCGTATATCATTAATAAATTTGCAAATGTAAATTTGCAAAACCCATCAAAATTATTGTGTGAAAGAATCGCGAAAAATCATGGCGTTTGTGTGCCCCGAGAAAAGCCAGAAACGAAAGGAGCTGCTCAACGAGCTGAAATGTCTGATGGAACAAGTGGGCGGCGGGGACAATGGATGTTGCCCCCCAAAGTGTGGCCCTGCCCCTTGCTGCCCGTCAGTAAACAGTTGCCTCGGACCAGTTATCGAAATTTATGACCCGTTACCGAAACCTTGTTTGCCTATTTGCAGCCCTATGTGCCCACCTTGCTGTTCTCCAGCGTGTGGTCCCTCTTGTCCACCTCCGGGATGTTGCCCGCCTCCAGGCTGTTGCCCACCTTCTGGAGGCTGCTGTCCACCTACGTGCACCCCCGGTAAGTAATTTATTTACAAAATTACAACAGAATTAGAATTGGGAAGTTATTCTTTGTCTGTGTTTTTTTTTTAACTTATATGCACATTTCTTTCCTTATTTTCTTTGTTAATCAATTCAAACTGTTCTGTTATTTATTTCAATTAGGTATATCCATTTAACGTTATTTAATTCGATGCCATTTTTTGGTCTTATTTTGTACACAGTTGACGAATTTTATTATAATCTCGACTTACTTTCACACAAAAGTGGTGATTGACAAATTTCAATTAGTTCATTTTCATTTTGCCTGGGAACGAAAGCTTTTTGTCAGTTTAAGAAACTGCATCAGTTTTTCAGAACCGACTTTCTAATGCCAGTATTATCCTACGGACTTTTTGCCGGTCGAGAAAGAACTCGGGATCAAAAATCGAGAAATCGGGCTGCGATCAATAAATCGTTCGATTTGTTGCGGCCTTAGAGCGAGCATTGTTGCGGAATGTAAACATTTTCTGGACACTTTTTGAAAAAAATTGAGCTGCAAAAAATTTTACTGCAACGTATAATAAGCGGAATCTAAATTTAACAGCAAAATATTCCGTCGGACCGAGGAGGTTAATAAAACTTAGTTCAGGTCGTCTTTTTTGAGCCGATGAATGTCGCACAACTCTTTTCATTTTGTGCTACAAAAATTATAGCTATTTTCTCTAATCATTAGGTATTTTTTATAACAATTTCTGATCTCCGTTATGTGTTATATCTAATATTAAGGGTAATATAAGGCGTAAAAATTATGAAAACGGTATTTGAGCAAAAATCCGTCGAATTTAATAAAATTTCAAAACATATAAATTAGTTTTCTTAAAAAACAACTTACTTTCAGGAACATGTCCGCCTCCAAACGCCTCAGTCCCAATTTGTCCTCCTCCACCTCAGCCCATCTGCGTTCCTCCCATTCTTCCAGTCTGCACTCCGGTGCCACCTCCCTGTGTTCCTATATGCAATCCAAACCCTGAAGAACAGCCTTGTGTTCCATGCAATCCTCCCCAAATGATGGTATGTTATAGGAGGCCGAAAGCGCAAGCGAAAGAACCAAGAAGCAAAAGCAGAGAGCTCAGAGCAAGCATTTTACATGTTGGCTGCGACTGCGAGAAACACAATGGTAAAGCTTCCTTACTTACCTATTGGTTAATGATGTTTTTATGTTTGATGCATATTTTTGTAATGCTGTTTTATATGTCGTCACGATGCTTCGTTTCGCTCACTTCGTCCTTGTATTTTCTACTTGCATGCGCTCATCATGTTTGGGTCATGCCAATTGTCTTTAGGTTTATATACTTTCTATTCGACGAAACCAGACCTATTCCATTTATTTTACCATTTCTTTTACAGTTCATCTTACCGTTCGTATAAAATATATTTTTTTGGTTCCAAAAAAAGTTTTTGGACAGTATGAAGAGAACATAATTTTTTATTGCAAATCCACACTCAGCTAAATTTTTAAATCATTTCGCTATTCGATGGGTTCCGGTCCCATATTTATGCATATTTCGCTTACTTTACTTAGGAACCTACTACGTCAGACGAGTTTAGTTTATAGTTTTTTAATTTTACTTTAGTTAAACAATTATTATGACATAAAAAATAATAATTTTTAAAGACTTCAATGAGTTTAAAGTAGTTCTTAACGTGCCTAAGTAAATAATGCTTAATGCTTGCTAAGTTTTGTTTTATTGTAAATTTGAGAAAAATGTTTCTTTTATTTAGAGATCCAATTTGAGTTAACGTTATAGTTCTAAAAATTAGTAAAGGTTTCAATGTGAAATATCTTGAAAACTGTGAGAGATATTGACTTGAACTAACACATTTTTGGTGTAGGAAATATTAGGCAACAAAAAAGCGATATTTTAAAATCCAAAAAGATGCTGCATGAAATTATAATGGCTCCAGACTGCACTGCAGCTCTGGAAACTACAAGCTAAGTAATAGGAAAGTCTAAGATGAGGACTAAAGACTGAGGATAAAGACTATCCTGTACAATATGGTTCTCACGCAATTAGATTGACTTTCCGTATGCAAAATTTTAAATCATTAAAACAGCAAAATTGATCCAGTTTAACCAGATAAAAATGATTTGCGATTAAAAACCAATAAAAATTAAGAACTGTATTGTAGAAATGAAGACAAGACTATTTAGTGCTGCCACTAGAAAACCAGAACAGCTTGTACATGTGTGAATAGTTTCCAAAACTGGTGACCGAAAATCATAAAATGTACATAAAATGCTACAACTGTATCAATTATTTTGAGATTTTTTGCTTTAGCTTTTTTACTTTACTTTAGCTTCGAATCGGCATTTGAAGGGAGTCAATAATGTACCTAACAGTATTCAAAATATTACCAGCACACATTACTTATACTCTGGACAGTATAAGTAATATAAAATTATTAACAATTATTTATTTCTGGAAAATGTCCTTTATATATATCTATATAGGTTTGCAAGATGACTGTCCACGATCAGAATGCCATGGATCACCTGAATGTTTAACCCAACCCGACCCTACATGTGGACCGTCTGAGTTTGCCGACTGCAAACACCTGGGAAAAAAAGGCTACGATCCCAGAAAGAAGGACTTGGAACAATATCAGTGTTATCCCGCATTTGTGCGTTTACCATCATGCGCCCCATGCGGCGGTGGAAATGGAGGAAACGGTGGTGGCTCAAGTAATTACTGGATGTCTGAGAATCATACCTTGCAGGTAGTTGAGGGCTTTTTTAAATTACAGGTAGTTGTCCTCCGCCCTGTGGTCCTTGTGGACCTTGTGGTCCTTGTGGACCATGTGGGCCTTGTGGGCCTTGTGGTCCTTGTGGTCCCTGTGGTCCCTGTGGGCCTTGCGGTCCTTGTGGTCCGTGTGGACCCTGTTGTCCTCCACCTTGCGTACCTCTAATAGCGCAAGCTCCTTGTCCTCCACCAGTATTGCCAACTCCACCTCCATGCGTTCCAGTAGGTCGTGTGGTACCAGTATGTCCAGCTGTACCGATGCCCATTCCCTGTCCGCCTCCCGTTGTTTGTTGTCCCCCAACCAATCAGCCACAATGTTGTCCTTGTCCTCCACCATCATGCTATCCTGCTCCATGTTGTCCATGTCCTTGCTAAAGTACGTTGTTCTGTACGGATACGGTGTGCCACAAATTCGATCCGCACCATAACTGCGGAGCAACTGAGCAAAACGCATTAAATCGAAATATATCACTTTGAGTTATCACCGAAAAAGCAATTAAATTAATTTAAATTTAATAAAATTATTGTTTAGGCTTCAGGTATGTATTAATGCTTTTATTCTGGTTGTATTTATATTTTTTAACTTAACTTCAGAGGCCTGAATGTTTAAAGTTCTTTCCATAGGGTTTATCTCAGTTTGCTTAACCAAAGTGTGGATTTATAGATATTTGTTCGATATAAATTAGTTCTACTTAGCCTTTGTGAGGATCTATTTTATTGGCAATTAAACTAAATGTATATCAGACATTTCAACTAATAGAATACGACCCGCCAGTATACCAAAGACACTTTTTTGTGTAATATAATATTTAACTTAAATCTGCAGGCCAATATCTTACCTTCTTCGAAAGCAAATTTTATTTGATTAAATAATGGATTTACGCTAGTCCGTCTGGTCATAAATTGAATTTAATAAATTTTTGCTTGATGGATGAAACTATGGATATGATTGATTGAATCACCGATTGACATGTCGATATGCGATTTAAAGACTTTGCCCCAAGAGAATAACTCACATTGTAGGTTGAGCAAAGGAAAGCACTTTATACAATTTACTTTAAAATATTATGATAAGCTGGATTGATAGCTTTTGGCTCAGTTGCTCTTCAAATAAATCAGATTCCATAAGGGAGGGACAGTCGTTTATGACTCGGTCTATTATGAACTTGTAGCAGCACTAATGGTGATCTTAATTAACCCAATCAAATCAATTGCCGTCCTTAAAATGGCAATTCTTTATTTTTATTTTTTGTCAAAGATGTGGAATGTGATATGATTTTGTAACATATCCCGAAGATGGTTTTTAGCAGGTATTTAATGGTACTTTC